GATATTTCCCATGCACACTAGAGATGAAGTTCATAAAATTGTAAAGGACTTCAGAAAATGGAGTTCACCTACCAACCCGAGCAAGAATGGGCTTACTTCGAACCTCTTTAACAAGGAAGGACAACCCAAGAGGAGTAGGAGGATGAGTTAAGGTTTCAAAAAAAGAGGCACAAGAGAAGGCACCCGAGGAGGAGGGGGTCCAAATTCTAATATCTTCCTTAGTGGGGTCCAGGAAAATATTATCAAGGATGTTTAACAAAGTCAAAATGCGGTCCAAATCCGTATCCCTAATGGCCCTTCTCAGGCCTAGGTTCCACCCAAAATCAAAAGTTGAGTCTAAAGGAACTAAGAAGGAAGAAATAGGTTTATTCTTTAGGTCTGATAGAGCAAACAAAGAGGGGAACTGTTCCATCAAAGGGGAATCCCCAACCCAAGTTTGTTCCCAAAATTTTATTAGGTTACCTGAGTTCAAGCCATACCTGATCCAAGGAGAGAATGCTAGAAGTATATCATGGATGGCTTTCCACGGAGATGCAGTCGTAGCTCTTGCCAGAATTTCAGGATCCCAACCATTGTCCTCTAGCCCATGAATGCTAGCCACTATCTTCGTCCATAGTTTGTCCCTTTCCAAAGGAAATCTCCACAACCACTTCCCTAGCAAGGCCATATTTCTTTTCCTAATATTCCCTATTCCAAGACCTCCTAGGCTTTTACTTCTAGTTACCACCTCCCAATCCACCCTATGATTCTTCTTCTCCTCTGCTAGCTCCCACAAGAAGTCCCTCATTAATTTCTCCAACATGTTTGAGACTTAGGTTGGAATCTTAAACATCGATAGGAAGTAAACAGGTAAGTTAGCTAAGGTAGACCTAATCAAAGTGATCCTCCCCCCCAAGGATAAATAATTCTTCCTCCAAGAAGCAAGTCTTCTCTCAAATTTTTCCACCACCGAGTTCCAAAAACTTTCTTTCTTGGGATTATCTCCTAGGGGGAGGCTAAGTAATTTAATGGCCAATCCGAAATTGCACAACCTAACACACTTGCATAAACTCTTATTTCCCTCTCCTCCATGTTTACCCCCGCAATACAACTCTTTGTCAAAGTTCACCTTGAGATTAGACATTTGCTCGAAGAGTTGTATTGCCAATTTTAAGTTCCTAATCCAATTTATGCCCCCACCTTCACAAAACAGAATTGTATCATCTATAAATTTCAAGTGTGTAAGTGGAACTTCCTCCCTTCCTACTCTCCATCCTCTTAGTAAATTCCTCGAATCAGCTCTATGAATCAATTTCCCAAGAATAGTCTTTCTATCCACTCCCTGTTCTCTTCTCCCAAATTCGGCCATTGCAATCCCTCTAACCAAACCCTCTCATTTAAAGGCCTTCTAAATATAGATTTGAAATGATTTACAAAGGCCTCTACTATCTCCGCCGGGTTGGATTTGACTGTTCCATCAATTTCCAATTTCGAGATGAAATTCTTTTTTCTCCTACCATTTGCCACAGAATGAAAGAATCTAGTATTTCTATCTCCCTCCTTCAACCATTTACAACTAGATTTCTATTTCTAGCTTATTTCCTCTTTATGCAAAAGATCCTCTAGTTGCTTCCTCAAACTCCATCTATTCTCTCTGTCTGCCTCTCTGAAAGATCCCCTTTCTTCCTTCGAATCCAAATCCTCAATCTGCTCCATCAAAATTTGCTTTCTTTTCTCCAGTCTTCCAAACTCCAAAAGGTTCCACTCTTTAATCTGCTTTTAGGTATTGAAGCTTCTTGTGACATTTCATACCCTCCCAATTAATTGAAGGACTAAATTGCCCCCACCACTCCCTAATTTTCTCAATTGTTCTCTCCATCAAAATTTTCTTTCTTTCCTTAATCTTCATTGTTCTCTATCCTTATGCAAGTATTTAGGAGTTGGTCATTTGTTCAAGATTTTGTCTCCTTGTGGTAAGCTAGATCCTACGCCATTTCGCGCATCTTCCTTGGGTATCCCTCTACTCAAAAAGGTTACCGTTGCTTTGATTCGGTCACCCGCAAGTACCTCATTTCTATGGATGTCTCTTTCTGAGTCCGAACCTTTCTACCATGTTTCTCCTCAAGGGGAGAGTGGTGTGGAGAAACAGGTTCATCAGGCCCACCATCCTTCCATTCTTGATCTTGTACCTTTTCGTGCCTTCCTACGTAAGCATCGCAAAGATCAGCAATGTTTTAAGGATGTGGAGCTCCTAGATACTGCACAATTGATACCGTCAGACTCCCAAGAGGTAAGTCCATCTCAGCCAGATACTTTCATTCCAGTTGATTCATCTGTTACTATTTCTATTGTTGATTATGTGAATGACCTTGACATTCCTATTGCTCATAGGAAGGGTGTCAAGTCATGCACCACAAAGCTCCCCATTACCATTATATATCTTATGAGCACCTTTCCCCCTCTTATTGTGCCTTTTTGTCTATTGTTGACAATATCCCTGTACCCAAAAGTGTTGCAGAGGCTTTGACATTTTCTAAATGGATGAAGGAGATCAATGCCCTCCATAAAAATAACACTTGGGAGTTAGTGGATCTTCCGAAAGGGAAGGATCCAGTAGAATGTAAATGGGTGTTTTTAGTGAAGCACAAGACATATGGAACAGTAGAAAGGCATAAGGTAATGTTGGTGGCAAAAGGGTACACTCACGTATATGTTATTGATTATCTCGGGACCTTTGCCCCATTAGCAAAGTGAGGCATAGTTTTCAAGGCACCAAAGCAAGGCTAGGCAATAGGGGGGCACCTTGTCACCTAAGCAGGTGCCTAAGCAATGGATTTTTTTAAGCATAAAAACATGTATCCTAGGGTAGTTCCCTAGGTTCCATAACCATATTTCCTTAATAATTATCCATAATTTTCATAAGAAAAGTATAAACTTCATGTTAAAGTATAGAAAATCAATATTTTCATAAGAAAAAAAAGAAAATAAAATTCAAAAAATATAGGGGTGGAACCACCTATCTTTGTTATAGTAAAAGAAGAAAAGAAAAGGTGCAAGAAGAAGAAGATGTGAAAGAATAAAATGTGTTGATTAGACAAAATTTTAAGTTCTTCGTTACTTATTGGTTCAGGCTTTGAAGTATTTCAAGGTTCAATATAGCGGTTAACAATGTTTGTGTTGATTAAACCCTAACAAATAAGAGAATAATAAAAAGAAATTAGTATATAAGCACACAAAATGAATATTCTAGTTTAATAATGTCTAGTTTATAATTATAATCTCAAAAAATTAAGAATATGAAAGTATTTTATAACTCAATATATAAAACTGCTTGGCAATTAGGTGAGGTAAGACTCTAAGGGCGCCTTGTTTCCTAGGCGTCGCCTTGACAACTATGGTAGCAAAGATGAACTTCATTCAGGTCCTTCCATTGGCTGCTAACTTGGATTGGGAATTACACCAACTTGATATCAAAAATGCATTCTTGAATGGAGATCTGGAGGAGGAAGTGTACATGGTTGAGCTACCAGGTTTTCGTGCTAAAGGGAGTGAGGATGGTTCAGCAAGTAGGGTTCAAGCAATGTCAATTTGATCACACTTTGTCAAGAGAAGATGGTAGTGTTGATAGTTTATGTGGATGATATCATTGTAACGGGAAATTGGAGTTTTGATATACATAAGTTGAAAGAGATTTTGGTTACCCAATTTGAAGTGAGGGATCTAAGACCCCTACGGTATTTCCTTGGAAGTGAGGTTGCTCGTTCACAAAAGGGCATCTTCGTTTCTCAAAGGAAATAAATCCTAGATCTCTTATAGGATACTGGCAAATTAGGTGCCAAGCTAGCTGATACCCCCATTGATATCAATCATAAGATGGGTGATTGTAATTGTGAACCACTGAAGGATGTGAAATAGTTCCAATAGTTAATAGGGAGATTGTTGTACTTGTCTATGACACACCCTAATATTGCCTATGTTGTAGGAGTTTTGAGTTGGTTCATGCATTCACCCAAGGTGTCGCACATGGAAGCTGCTGAGAGAGTTCTAGATACTTGGAGAAGTAGCCAAGAATTGGGTTGTTGTTTAAGAAGCACGATCACTTGAAGGTGGAGGTGTATACAAATGCTGATTGGGTAAGTGCAGTAGATGATAGGAAGTCCACCAGTGGGTATTGAACCTTTGTGGGTGGAAATATGGTAACATGGAGGAGTAAAAGTAAAGCGTAGTTGCAAGGTCAAGTGCTGAAGTCAAATACAGGGCCATGGCACATGGAGTTGCTGAAGTACTTTGGATTAGGAATCTATTGGGAGAGTTCGGGTTTAGTGTTGACAACCCTGTCTCTATACAGTGACAATAAGGCAGCCATTAATATTGCAACTAACCTTGTCCTTCATGATAGAACAAAGCAAATAGAAGTAGACAAGCATTTTATAAGAGAGAAGCTTGAGAAAGGTGAAGTGTGCACCCCCTATGTCAACACCAAGGATCAACTTGCAAATGTTCTTACCAAGGAACTCCACTGTTTGAGGGGGACTGTTGTTAGCTTTAATGGCTGCTGTTTAGCTTTTTCATTGCTGCTAGATTTACTCTTTTTTTATAGTTTAATACCACAGGGGTATAGTTGTATTTTCCCTTTAATTTTTATTGTTTGTGTTGTGCCACTATAAATAATAATAAGGAGGTACCGCCAAGATGATTCTCTTTTAGCACTCAAACCTCTCTCTCTCTCTCTCTTCATCAGTTTCTGGGTTGAGAACAGTAATTAAAGCTAAACCTGCACTCACATTGGCACACATACAAAGAGTAAGACCAATAGTCCACTAATAACCCAACTGGAACAAAAGTTGATATGACCGGACGATCATAACCACCTGAGCTATTACAAATTTGTAAAATATTTGAGAGGCACAAATTACCCCAGAAAAGGTTCATGGGTTTGCATTCCTGTAAGAATTCTCACGGTCTGGTTGGTAATGGTATCATATAACTTTGCATGTAAGAAAAAGTTTTAAACTCCATACCTTCGGGCAACGAGCAATACTTGATTGTTTGAGAGTGCGTGAAAATGTATCTGACCATGATAATGCTTCCTTACCAAAGATATTTCTACAGCCACAAGAATCTTGTTCTACACAGCATCTAAGTTTTTCAATTTTTTCCTGAGAAAAATAGCAGGTAAAGCACATAAGAATAAATCTGTTTCTATCAAAACCTTATAGGAACTCACTAAGAAGTCAGTTTGAAATTTGCCCTCTCCACCACTAAGCTAGGCATTCTTTTAGAAGGTCCAACAAAAGGTGGCAGTTACCACCACCCCCCAATACTCACAAAAGAAGGATGTCATGAAATAGAAAGAGTGATTTGTGATCTATTCTTTTTCTCTGATGTTCATCATGAGCAGCTATCTTACTGAAGGCATCTTTGACTAGGACAGTCAAATGGGTTGGGCAGACCCAACAGAACCAAACCAAACTAACCCAATTATATAGACATGGGCCTACATTCATCATCATTATCTAAGCTTTGTCCCAACTATATGGGGCATGAATACTGTTTTCCCATTCCATTTTGTTTAGTGTCTGGGTATGCATTACATGTCCCAATTATAATCGGGTCAATAACAGTTTTGGGTGTTCGGAACTCATTAAAACCCAAAACAACTATATATGAATTGTATATATAATTATGCATGTGTATATTACAATGATACCCCCATTCTAATACCTATTTTCCTGTGATATACTCATAATATTATCGCATTGTGATGTTCAAATGTATCAATTTAACAAATAAGTAGGTGTGTTGCCAAATTACAGTTAAAAGTACAGCTGTATACCCGATTAATAACTAAGTCTGTTATTACAGAACCTATAGGGTTTGGTTTGGAACTGGTTCTAGACATTTATTTATCAAGGTCAGAATCAGGTCTGCCCTGGCTCAGACCATACCTGACCCATTCACAGATCTTTGATTTTAATTTGGAGCAATTTCAGAACTGAGAACAATTTTTTCAACCAGTGTTTGTGGTTGGTGAAATTCCTAGTATTGATTACTTTGCTGGGAGCTCAGGATACCAAGTGGGATTTTTGTTTTTTCTTTTTCTTTTTTTTTTCTTTTTTTGAGATAAGGCAACTTATCACCCTTCATGAATTTGAGGCTCATCATGCAGGTGAGTGGAGTTTTTGTTGCAAAGGGGACTCATTGTATAAAGATACTCCTCTACTGTACAGCTCCTCTAGTTTCTTTTACTCCATTGTTAATAACAAAATCTTGTTACAAATAACTAGCTAATGGAAGGAGAAAAAATGGAGTACCTTTTACCAAACTGAGGAAAACCAGAAAAAGGTTATAACAAATCTTCAATATGCTAGTTATTTAAATGGAAAATTTGTAATACAAAATTTATGAGGGGAATCAATTGCATAGTTGTCAAGGCAATGCCTAGGCAACAAGGTGCCCTTGGAGGCTCACCTTGCCCAATTGCCAAGCTGTTTTGTACACTGTATTATAAAATACTTTTATATTCTTGATTTTTTGAGATTATAGTTATAATAGACATCATTAAACTAAAATATTCATTTTGTGTGTTTATATACTAATTTCATTTTATTATTTTCTTATTTGTTTTAATCAACACAGTCATAGCTAAATGCTGTATCGAACCCTCAAATCTTCTTTTCCTATAACAAAAATAAGGGTTCAGCCCCTATATTTTTTGAATTTTCTTTTCTTTCTTCTTTTTCTTCTCATGAATATGTTGATTTCCTATACTTTAATATGAAGTTTGTACTTTTCTTATGAAAATTATGAATAACTTTTAAGAACTTATATTTAAGGCACATTAAATAAATGGGCTTTGTGGATCTTGACTAAAACACCCCTAATTATTAATTTAATCCCTCTTTAACTAAGTAGGCAAAAAATGTAATTTAAAGTATTATTATTTTCCACTTCATTAAACTTCCTCACACTAAGCTATTAAGTCTCATTCTCTCTCCTTAGATACTTTATTTGAAGTATTTTGCCCAGGCTTACCTCGGACCATTGGCCTATCTCCATTTGCAAGGAGGATCTTGTTGGAAAAGGACCAGCTCCCTTTAGGTTTGAGAACATGTGGTTGTCGTCCAAGCTTAATTCAAAAGATCAGAGAGTGGTGGGGGGAGAGCAGCCCAAGAGCTGAATGGAAAGGGATGAGATTTCACAAGAAGTTGCAAGAATTAAAATCCAGAATCAAGGAGTGGATACTTTGGAGTTTGGGAGGATTAAAGAATGGAAGCAATCTTTGATCCACCAAATTAAGGAATTAGATAAAAAGGAGGAGAAGGGTACCTTTGAGGAAAGAGATAGAGAAACAGGGTGGTCCTTAAGGAAGAAATTAGAAGATGTTCTACACAAAGAGGAAATAAGTTGGAGACAGAAGTCAAGACACAAATGGATTAAGGAGGGGGATACCAATAAAAAATTTTTCCATGCTTTGGCTGTTGGAAGGAAGAGCTCCAGATTAGTAGTTAATGGGGTGCCCTTAACTCATTAGGATGAGATAACAGGGGCGTTTAAAGAATATTTTAGACCAATCTACAAAATACATTTGCATGAAAGAGTTTGTATTGAGGGCCTTGATTGGTTGAAGATCCCAGGGGAAATGAAGAACTGGTTGGAAAGCAGATTTGATCAGGGGGAAATAAGGGAGGCTGTCTTTTCCAGGGATAGATGCAAAGCTCCAGGACCTGATGGATTCACAATGGCATTCTACTAAGATTGTTGGGACATTCTGGAAGAATATATGTTAGCAGTGTTTGAGGAATTATATGAAAGAGGAGTAATTAACCCAAGCCTTAATTTGACCTTGCTTTAGTGCCAAAGAAAGTGATGCAGCTCATCCTCATGAGTTTAGACCCATTAGCTTGGTGACTAATCTCTATAAAATTATAGTGAAGGTCCTAATTGCAAATGAATGTGTGGAGGATTACAAAAGAGTTGGGTAAAAAGGATTTGTTTGTAAGTTGGACTTGGGAAAAGCTTATGATATGGTGGATTGGTCATTCTTGGTGGAAGTCCGAGGAATTTTGGATTTGGGGAGAGATGGTGAAAATGGATAAGAGGATGTGTTAAGACCTATCATTACTCCTTGTTGGTGAATGGAACTGTGGTGGATTTCTTCCCAGCCTTAAGAGGGATTAGACAAGGTGAACCCCTATTTCCTTTCTTTTCACTCTAATTGTTGAGGTCCTCGAAATGCTTATTGCTAGAGCAAACTCACTTGAGTTGTTGAGGGGTTGGAAGGTTGGTCGGGGCAGTGTTCCAATTACTCATTTGCAATTTGCAAACGATACTTTGTTGTTTTGTGAAGGTGGTAATCGGAACTGGGTTAGGAATCTAAAGTTGACAGTACAACTCTTTAAGCTAATCTCCAATCTCAAGGTGAATTTCAACAAGAGTTGTATTGTGGGTGTTAGTATGGAAGAAGGGGAGATGCTGGAGTATGCAAATATCTTGGGACTTCCTTTGGGGGACAATTCAAAAAAGAGCAGTTTCCAGGACCCAATAGTTGAAAGGTTTATTAAGAAACTTGCTTCTTGGAAGAAAAGTTATTTGTCTTTAGGGGGAAGGATCATTCTAATAAGATTTACTCTAGCCAATCTGCCTTTGCATTTCATGTCTATCTTTAAGATGCCAGTGAATGTGAGCAAAAAATTGGAAAAGTTGATGAGAGACTTCTTATTGGAATTAGGGGAGGAGAAAAAGGACCATAAAGTTAACTGGGAAATGGTGAGTAGAAGCAAGAAGTTTGGCGGGTTGGGTCTAGGCAATTTACAAGAGAGGAATATGGCTATGGAGGCTTCCTATGGGTAAGGGCAAGCTTTGGGCTAAGATAGTGATTGGTATCCATGGGTTGCAACTGACAGTTGGGATGTTGGATTACTGACTGGGGCTACCAGAGCCCCTCCTTGGAAGGCTATCCATGCTATCCTCCCATCTATTCTGGTAACCTTGTAAAATTTTGGGAACAGGTGTGGGTGGGTAACATCTCTTTGAAAGAAAAATTCCCTTCTGTTTTTTCCCTGTCAAGATATAAAGATAAACCTGTGTCCTCTTTTCTGGTTCATTCTAACTCGAAGAATGGTATAGATTAGCATTTGGGGTTGAGGAGGGGTGTGAGAGATTCAGAAATTGATGATGTTTTGGACTTGATTCATATCCTTAACAGGATTTATTTGGATTCCTCTAAACCTGATAGTCGTATTTGGACCCTATCCTTCTCTGGTGTATTTTTCTGTGCTCCTTTCCTTGAGTCCTTAAGGCCCTGATCCAATCTTTTGACTCTTTGGGGATATCTCTCCTGGTCAAGGAGGTTTGGGGTAATCTCATTCCTCCAAGATTGGAGGTTTTTGTTGGGAAGTCTTCTTGGAAAGAAATAATACTTGCAACTTGCTCCAAAGGAAAAGGATTAATTGGTGTTTATCCCCACACTGGTGAGTTTTGTATAAGGCTAATGGAGAAACTTACTTTCATTTATTAATTTCCTACCCTTTTGCAACCTTTATTTGGGAATGGTTTTTTTCGTTGTTTGGGTGCAGGTGGTCTCCTCCAACTAATGTGCAAAGTTTATTTGCTTCTACTTTCTTGAGATGGCCAAAGAAAAGGGGACAAGTATTATGGAGATGTGTAAGGGTGGCTGTGAGCTGGACTTTATGGGAAGAAAGAAATGCAAGATTATTTCCTAGACAAGGAAAGAAGTAGAGAAGCTATCATTGAAATCATTATGGTGAGAGTGGTTCATTGGGTAAAATCTATGAAGATTTTTGTTGATTTCTTTTTTTTTTTTTTTGATCAATAACACTTTCATTAAATCATCAATAGAAGATTTACAAGAGGAAGACAAACACACTTATCTTCCAAGAGCAACAAAGAACCTCAAGAAAAGGAAAAAAA